AAAGAGATTCCAAGTGATCTTAATGCTAGTTGAGGCTGCTTTGTTTAGCTTTCTACCCTGATTTTAAATACAAACTGACTAGGTAGTTGTTAGCATGTGTAGATTGACCTGATAATTACCAAAAATAATTAGGTAGCTTACTGCTCTGGTGGCAATGAGTCATAGTGTGTCAGTATTTTCAGGTAATAAAAATGAAACTCCATGAGAGATTGAGGTGTCAGAACAGATGCTGAAGCAAATGGTAAATGAAAGAGTAACAAGTCTCTAAGACCAGATGGTAGATATCTAAGATACAGAAAGAGTTTAAGAATGAAGCAGCTGAAGTGTTGACAGAAATAGGCACTCTCATTAAAATTAGTTACTATGCTAGAAAAGTAGAGAAAATGTACCTAAGTTAAAAACAGGTTGCAGCAGGAGCTCTGTAGTTAGTGATCTATCAGTATTTCACTAGAACTAGTAAAATTAGTTGAAAAAAAATAAATAACCCACATCAATGAACATGGTAGGACAGAAATGAACAAGCAGGATTTCTGTTAGAAGGAAAAAAAAAAAAAGTTCCTTCCCGATGAAGATTACTAGGTTCATGGATTTAAGTGTTAATCTGGTTTAGGACCAGAATCAGCTTCAGGCACCAAAGGTGCAGCTGATAACACAGAAATTACCTTAGGGCTGTGAAGAAACTACAGAACCCGGAGTCTTTTCCATCTTGCTGGATCCAAACAGATGGCCCAGTAAAGGCCAAACAAATCTGAGAAGACCTGTTTGGCCATCTTCTTTTCTTAGTGGACTAGAGCACTGTGGCACAATGCGACAATGCAGGTGCCATACGGCCCACCTGTAGCCAAAAGTCAGTGCAGCCAGTTCTGCTATTTTTGACAGTGAATGACCAGTAACTGATGGCAGGGCAGGGACAGGAGGAGGCCAAGTACAGGGTGGTATTCTCCCAATTTCCAGTAATCTGAGATTTAGGCATTTACTAATCCAGATATTTTATGTATGTCATAGTATTAATAACAATGCATTTGCTTTAGTATCCTCATATATTTTTCTAATTGACTAAATTAAACAAATCTGTTTATAGTTCCAGCCTCCTAACAGTTCCACAGTTCCATTATGTCTAGTGTGAAAATATGCTTTTTCCTCTTCAAGTTTGTTACTTGGTAATTTCATTTTGTTATTCTAGTTGTTGTGCTAGGAGAAGCAGTAAATAATACCTTTCTTTTCATTACCTGAGTCCTGTTTATTATTCTGTATATCTAGATAATTTTTTACCCTCAGTAATTTTTTTTTCAAAGTTAAGATTTCTTGCCTGTTTAGCTTCTTGAGGAGTGGTTGTTCCTTACCTTTACTCAGCCATCTTTGTGCCTTTCCTAGTTCTGCAGCATGTCATTTACAGCATGAGGTGCCTAGAATTGTATGCAGTATTAAAAATGTGGGTGCATAGTGATCATTGTACAGTGGCAAAATAGTTTCCTATTTCCTGTTTGTTTCAACAGATAAGCTGTTGACCTTTAAATTGTCATAGATGCTTTGGTCTGGCTTGTCCTTATCAGGTCTTGTTGTGCCGCCTCAAGCGGTTTACATGACCTTCTGCTGGGAGAAGCCCCAGGCTTCCAGCACACATGGTGCAGGGCAGCAGAGCAGAACCAGCACCCTGCAGCTCATGCTACACCCGCGCAGCATGGAGAGATGCTGTGTCTCTCCAGAGATTCAGGGACACAGGGCTGCTTTCAGACTGCCTGTTCCACGAGCAGCATAACTCACAGAAGGAACATCTCTAAGGGCCAAAGAAGAATCCTATGCCATGTCACTTGAAAAGGCTACATACAAGAGCACCAGTGTAGCCAAAAGTGTTTAGCTTAAGACCTGCAGGTTATCACCAAACATGGCTACAGCACCTGTGCCTGTTTGTGAGCTTTCTGAGACCTGTTCCTCTGTGCCTGAAGATCACTCTCTGACATTGCTGACTGAACAATGCCTGCAGAACGGAGTTTGTAATTCTCAGGTGGCCTAAACTTCCACAGCAACCAGGCATGAAAGGGCCTAGTAAAGAAAAAGCGCAATTACTTCCTTTGATGACTAGCACGTCTGTCTCCCAGCTCTGGCCTGCAGTGCCATTGTGTAGCAGAGCAGCAAGACTGAGCACAGGTTCATGCAGCACACACAGATCCATCTCCTGTCTGTACCAGGCAATGGCTAATCCAGCCTGTGAGTATATCAGGTATAGTTGATATCAGGGTTGTCCTGACCATGTGTCTTGGCAGCGTGTAAAACACTGCATTCACAAGGACCTGCTCTCAGTCATGTCTGTCTGTCATTCCTGAGGAAGAGTAAAATGCAAAACGCTGTGGGAATCCATTGAGTCACGCTGGACTTACTCTGCTATTAGAGGAGCACTGTTACTTCTGTTATTTACAGGAGAAAATAGCCAGCTAAGTTTCTTCTGGCATTACTGGTCAAAAATTAATGCTTTACCACTGACCCTCTGACAGCATATATTTAGCTCCTGATCAGATGTCAATTTCCAAAATTTCCTGGCTGGATGTAGAACAGAGACTTGTTTCTAAGGACAGATTTGGGTGGTTTGACAGAAAACACTGTACATCTTGGAAGAACTTGAGGGCAGCTGCTGCAAGGGAAGGGATATTTTTTGGAAATAGCCTAAACATAAAGATGAAGCTTTTTGTCTTCAATAAAATGTGTGTATCTTGGCTATTTTGCTTGTCTAGGTAGATAAACTGTATGAGATGGGGTATCTTCTGACAAGCTATCCAAGGGAAAGATCTTAGTTTCTCATTAGTTAGATTCAAGAAGGACCCATCCCATGCATCCTTGCCTGCTTATTCAATGGCCTGGGAACTAATGGACTCTGATAAGTTTGGGCCAATCTTTTATACTTTATTTGGGGAAGCAGCATCTGGGGTCATTAAAGACCAAAGGCATGCTACAGATCTGACTAGTTGCTGGGCTTCCTGCTGTGAAAAGTAATTCAGGCCAAGTGTGCCTAATCTTCACGCAGTCGGTTTCAGGATCAACAAACACCCCCAACACCCCCTCCACCATCATTCCCTCTGGAATGTTATCAAGATTGGTACAACACCTTGTCAGGTAGGTGTTATACACCACAGCGATGCTCAGGTACCACTGAATGTGGTTGTGCATGGAGTGCTCTGCTGGTGGCATGGGTCTGCATTAGAGTAGAAGCACAGATGGTATCAGAAGAGAAGAGCATGGAGTAAGGATGGCTTGAGAGCTGGATGTTGGCCTAAATGGATTACGTGTCTGATCCTTGTTTCAGTTCCTGGGTTCCAAATAATATAACCCCAGAACACACTTCTAGTCAAAAACAGCTTTGGTGAGTCAGTGGTGGATTTTCCATATAAGTTAGTTTGTACTGAAATTCTAGGAAGTTTGAAGTCCATACAAGAAAATTAAGACATTTCTGATGTCTAGTCCACATAGACATAAACATTTACATTTTTAAGGCATTTATGCCATTATAACACACCATAAAAAGGCATCATTCCTTCTGCTCAGTTTGATGTCTCATTGTTTCCTGAGAGGCAGAGAAAGAGACTTCAGAAGTCTCTTGAGGCTAATACAGCCACCATCACTGTAATAGCAGAACTTGAACATCTTTTCTTATCTGATCAGCCTGTTTCACTGTGTCCCATTTAAGTATCTACTAATTTTGAATTCCTAATCTGTTAAGTTGCACTTATAATGTAATAGCCCCTGTAATAACAACAGTATACTAGGTGTCAATCAAAAGGTACAGGAAATATGAATGCTTAATTTATTTTTTAAAGAAAATATCTATATTGAAAAGATGTATAAAAATAAACTATCCAGATAAAAGTTATCCATCTAAATACTCAGCTAAAACATTCCAAATAATATTTTTAACATCAGTCATAGAAGATAGCTTTTTTGTGTGCTTCGACTTTTTCAGTGGCTTGCATCAAGATGAGGTGAACTCAAGGCAAAATTAGCAAGCTGGTTCTTGTCCACAGATGCTGCATCCCTACATACATTATTTGGTACCTTGAAAAACTTTTTTAGTCCAGTCAGTGTTCCTGTAGTCTGAACAAGGTTGATCAACTACCAGATTTTTACAGGATGAAAGAATATTTCTTCTGTATAAAACAAATTAGTGAAAATTGAAAAAAAATTGAAAATAGGAATGAGTCACAGAAGAGCTCTCAGAAAAAAAGGGTACAGTGAAATGAAATGGAACATGAAAGCATTCACTTACATTAGTTTCTGACTTTTTCTCTGTAAAAATGCCTGTCCAAGAGATAGAAAAAGTCTGCAAGGGAGAGTAGTAATGCTGTACCATCAAAAGCAATGCTGGCTACTGTGGTATTTAAAACCTCCTAATTTTTATTAGTGTTTGTGGGTGAGTTGAATGGGCCAGACAGGTCTCACAGCTCTTGCCAGACTGCACTTCCTGACTTACAGTTTGTATGGTTATGATATATGGGATTAAGGTCTGCAGTTTGGGATTTTCTGTCCAGATAGGGCTAATAAGAAGACTAATTTTTCTGAAAGTAAGTAGGAGTGACTCCCTGTGCTTGGAGTCATCAACAAAATAGTTGATACTTATCTAAAACTTCTGACTTGGTGCCTCACAAACTTGTGACCTGATTACAAGACTGCTGAGCCGCTATGCCATAGGGGACATTCCTAGCCTTATTTTTACCTCTACCATCTTGATCTTGCCCCCTTGAAGTTTCCCAACTAATATGAGCTTTCACTTAACCTTGCATATTGACAAAATCTGCTTACATTTCCCTAACACTTGGCCCAAAAGATTTCTTATGTTGTTTTATTTCCCACGGGTTTTTGTCCCTGGGAATCTGATAAGCCTATGCAGTAACAAGCCTACAGGAAACAGCTTCTATGGAGAGGAAGAGACAGAAAAATAAGCAGGAGATGATGACAAGAAAACAATGGGTGGTTTGTACATGGAAGACAAGTATCTGCATCTTCTCCGCTAAATGACGGGTTCAGAGCAACTGAGAAACTGCAGAAGTCAGGAAGCCTTTTGCGATTACATGGTGAGAGGGAGTCTGCTGGAACAGTACAGCCTTTCCTTTCTGAATATCCTTGTCAGTGTCATCTCAGACTGTAAGGTTTTGATCTTTTCAGAACAGCAAAAACAAAAAAACCCCAAACCTCTGAATCTATCGAAGATGTATTTGCATATGTCCAAGATTCTCAGGTTTCAGAAGTAAATGTAGCTTTCATGGTATTGACCCTGTTTAGAAAGGAGATCAGCTTCGACAGAAAAAGTCAAAGTGGGCAAATAGAGTAATTTTCTAAGGCTGCTTTTCTCCTCTGTGCCTGTGATCTTCTGACATTATGCTAAGAGGTATCCTGTGTCTACCAAATTCCTACTTATATTTGCTTCTTTGGCACAGAAGGAGTAAGCCTCAAGCTGCAAAACGTTTACAGTTGTACGCTTGTTAGAAAACCAATTATGAATGTAATTTATTTTAGAAACACTATGCATATGGTTTCTAGTTTAATTTGCATTATTATTTCAGAAGTACTTATAGTATCCAGTCCTATCTAGCAAAATGGAAATTTGGCACATAGTGTGATATAGATTCATAAGACATTATAAAAGTAACATGGCATACCATTGCCATATATATCCACTGATTCTTGAAGTGTGTGTCTAAAGTTGAAGTTAAATGTCCATATACGTCAGTGGGATGTGCACATGTTTAGTACCATGAGAAATTGTGTATGTCCTAGGGAATGAAATATTTGGATAGTCACATTTGAAAATTTTGCCCAAAATGCATAATTCTGCATATCATACGTAACTGTATAGTATTAAAATAGTGGGCGTTCCTCAGAAAAACTTAACAAGCAGAATAGGGAGGTATAAAAAAAGACTGGGGAGACCTTCCTAACTCTGTTCTGATGTAGCAGAGAGGAAGAAATTACAAGTATTTGAGGTAAAGCACTCATCTTTTTGCACAGCAAAACGAGATAATAAGTGGGAAATTGTGATTTATTTAGCACATGCAAGGTAGAAGAAGCTTTAAGAGAGAGAGATAAAGTCTAAATCTATGATTTAGTCCTGTTGCTACAAATGGTTGCTAGACTTTCGAAGCTAAGTGTGTGAATATATAGGGAGATGAGATGCCTGTAGGATGGAAGAGAATTAGTGCTGTATTAGTGGAAGACTGAAGAGCACCATACAAGAGCAAGGTGGGTAAGGAAAGTATAAAAGGAGGTGGAGCTCACAGTGTTAAATGGTAGTACTGAGGCTGGTCATTGGGTCATTTGACAAATTCCAGTGATATTTCCTGAATAATTTATTTTAAGCAATGAGGCTTTGCATTGTGTGTTCAGCTCTACTGTTGCTTAAGTGTCATTCAATACATGTGCTGCAGTAAGCCTGCAAGACAGTAATATAAGTCAGTACAAGGGAAAATGAGAAATCTTTTTTTTTTTTTAAATCTTCATTGCCTGTTCCAGGAGGTGCCAGTTCAGCACAGTGAGGAGAGGTGGTAGGGAGGCAAGTTTGAAATCTCAAAGAGACAAAGAGGGCAGGCAAGTGCAGCTGCCCCAGAGGCTTTTACAGAGTTGCCTTTGTGCTTCTGGCTCTCTGCGTTTAGGAGTTACGGGATTCCTGGCTCTAATGTAGCTAGACAAACTAACTGCCTGATAAACCATTTCATACCTAAATACTGAGCACTTTAAAACTGAATCATCTTACCTTTATGGGATATTGGGCTAAAAAAGTGTATGTTAATTAATAAAAAATGGAGGTGGGACAAAAAGTATAGCTTTGGCTGAGAAGCTGATTAGCTCCAAGAGGAGTGAGATTCCACTCTCTTCCCGGGATGCCTGCTGTGTCTTCACTGAACAACCAGTGCCTCAAAGGGAAGTTCTTGCCATATCTCCTTTCCTCTGCACCATCCTATGTGTGAGCAAGTGAAGAGGAGGCAAAGCACAGCAGCTGCCAACTTGCCTGTGAAGGGGGCTTCCTACATTAGTGTGAAGCTCTAATGCAGCACCAGCTGCCTATCAGGCTCAGAAGATACTAGTGATGCACTGCAAAGAAACTATACCTATGGGGCTATAGGACTTGGGTCAAGGATTTTGATTAGTCATGGGGTACAAGAGGCAGCTAGACACTATTTAACATTATTTGTTTCAAGTAACACTTTTTGCTTACAGACAGTTGGCATGGAAACCGAATCAGCACTCATTTTTTAAAAGGTTAGTCCATTCAGAGTGAGGTTAGTCATCAGCAGGCAAACCAAAGAGACGGAGGCTGCAGCTGTTAGCACTTCTATCTTGCTCGTGAATAGGCAGAATATTTGAAATCATAGCAATCATATTATCCTAATTTTTATAGTAATAAATGTGCATCTATTGAGAATCAGGTTGTGTGGGTTGGGTGATTGCTTTGCTTTGTTTTAAATAGGGAAGAGTTATTTAATTATCTGAAGTCCACACGTTATGCTTTTATGGATCAATTGAATTCAAAGAGTTAACAGAATTCATAGAAACGCTTGTAACATTGGGCTGGAAAATGGCATAATACTTAAAAGGCTATAAGCTTAGCACTAGGGATCTGTGAATGCATAGCCAAGATGGAAGCCTACACAGCATGCAGAAAATGGTGTTTTTAATTACTTTCTCTCTGTTGATGAAAAAAATTAAAGTTTCCCATGCACAAGAATAGAAGCAAGGAAATGGCTGATGGTTTTCTGCACCAACTAGGCTGAGAAGATATTGATGGCTAAACCTCCATTCAGTGGCATTTTATAAAGTGCCTGCTGGCATCTTGTTCTCAGAGAAAGAATGAAAAAAGCCTATTTAAATTTGAAAAGTTTAATTTCATCTATAACCTTTCACTCCCGGCTTTTTGTATTCCTCAGAATAAAGACTATACATGCCGTCTTCACTGATAAAGGATCCTGTTTATATTACAGTAACTATTTACATTCAAGGCTATAATGCTGTTACCAAATTGATGAGGACACTGATTTCTCTTTTCTTTGTGTTTACCAAGCAGATAATCTAAGTGACGCCTTGAAAAAGCTGAAGCTAACAACCACTGACAGCACAGCAGATAGCTTGGAGGGATGCTTGGACTGTCTGCTTCAAGCTCTGGCACAAAACAGTAAGTTGTACAGACCTTTCAAATTTTAAATTGTGTAATGAGATCAGTGAATTAAAATGGAGGGAGTAAAATGTGGCAGAAAGATGGACTCCAGCAGAAGGCTGCTGTGTTGGCTGTTGTGGGTTTCAGGGTTTTTTAACCCATATATCTGTAACATTCAGGTGGCTTTGAAGATAGTGACAGTAAATACCTGGATACTTGAAACAGCTGTAGTCTAGTCCTTTTTCCAATATGATGAAGTAGCAAAATTACTTTTCCAATTGAAAAAAAACAGGAATGGACAAATGAGCCTGATAGGATAGGGAGAGGGATATGGGAGCAACTTGCTCATTCTGGTTAAGGGACAGCTTCCTATTTGTAATGTATTTTTCCTCAGAATTATAACAACATCTTTCTTCAAGTACTTTCAATTAGCACAAATAGGCTGGATATCTGAAGATGGTCCAAATTTGACATGTGATACAATAACAAAAATATTTTAAGAATGGAACAAGATGTCTTGTTCACCAAAAGCTGTAGAATGTGTGTCCCCACTCAGAGTAGGCAGAAAAGAATGGTAAATGAAGATCACAGCTTATAAGAGTTTTCTGAGTTTAACTTTTAGTGCTTCAGATGGTGGCAGAAGAAAAATCTTTGTACAATTTCGCAGAGAAACACTTGTCAGGATAGATAGAAGCCATGATTAGAAATTTAAAAAAAAAAAAAAAAGTGCTTTGTAACTACCAATACATTCAAAAGTACATACTAAGTCTTGTTTCTTTCCTGTGATAATATTCTATAAATCATAGCCTTTTGGCTTACCTGGCATAAAATAATTCACAAGGCTTTTTGTAATAAAATATAAGCACCATCCATTTAAAATTACAGAATCACAGAATTGCTGGAGTTGGAAGGGACCTCTAGAGATCATCTAGTCCAACTCTCTCACTGAAATAGGATAACCTAGAGCACTTTACACAGGACTCTATCCAGGCGGGTTTTGAATATATCCAGGGAAGGAGACTCCACAACCTCCCTGGGCAGCCTGTTCCAGTTCTTTGTCACCCTCACTGTAAAGAGGTTTTACCTTATATTTAAATGGAACTTCTTATGTTCAAATTTGTACCTGTTGACCCTTGTTCTGGCACTGGAACTACTGAGAAGAGCCTGTCTCCATCTTCCTTGCACCCACCCCTTAGATACTTACAGGCATTAATAAGGTCTCCCCTCAGCCTTCTCATCTCCAGGCTAAAGAATCCCAGCTCCTTTAGCCTTTCTTCATAAGAAAGATGCTCCAGTCCCACTGTTATCTTCGTCACCCTTCTCTGGACTCTCCAGTAGTTCCCTGTCTCTTTTAGGAGAGATATGAAATATGGATTATAACAGTCTCTGCATTTAATGGTAGTGGGATTTTAATTCTTATTATTTTGCAAGAAGGTATCAGCCAGGAAATAAAATATATGGGGTTTAGATCAACCCATTTTTTTAAGATGCTGAATAATTTTTCTTATGGGATTATTTATAAGGTATATCCTATACTTTTAACACAAATTTCTATTGGATTTGGTATTTCCAGTACTTTTAAATCTAATACTTAAATTTTAAGTACTGAAAAGGAGATGGAATGAAAAATGATGAAGTCTAACCAACAGAGTTTGCCATTTTGACTAATATACAGCAAATTTACTGAAGCTTCTCTGCAACCAGATTAATCTCTTCTGTCTCGGTCTAGGGCTTTGCTCTTCCTTTCAAAGTCTTTTTAGTCTCATAGATGCCCAATCAGATAAGCAGATTATTAGGATCTTGACATCTCTCTTTTGTGTAGTTTAAAAATATTTAGCTATAGTCCCTTCATTGTTTATTGTCTTCTTTGCGTGTAAGTCAGTAACATGAATATAACCCTGCTGAGCTGCCATATGATGTACATCTCCACATATTCTGACTTGCCCAAGATAAAGGGCAACTAAAATAACTCACTGTAAATTAGATGGGTTAGATAGGACAGTTTTGCAACAGCTTGTTAGTGATTAAGAAGTCTGTATATCAACAGTGAATTAGATACTTTGATGCCTAAGTTGCTGAGTCTCTTTAGACAACAGGCTTTAATTCCTAAGAGTGTCTGATGTATTGGAAAAGAAATTTATCATGGGAGACAGGTTTTTGTTTTGGAATAAATTAGTGAGAACAGCAGAACATTGAAAAGACTTTAAGAGATTATAGGCAAATTGCATATAATAGATTGATTCTACAAACAGATATAGAATCAGCTTTCTAAATGCCGCAATCTCTGTGTTATTATTGGGCTACCAATATGTTGTTACTGCCCTGTCTTTGGCCAAACAACGAATGAATGTCCTTTCTCATAGTTCTCATTCATCCAAACATCTTAATATGGATTTTATTACTGATCTGAACCAGGGGAGGTTAAGATTAGATATTAGTAAAAATTTCTTCGCGGAATGAACAGGCTGCCCAGGAAGGTGATGGAGGCACCATCCCTGGAGGTGTTAAAAAAACGGGCAGACAGTGGTGTTTTGGGAGATGGTTTAGTGGTCACGGGGGTGTAGTGCTGATGGTTGGACTTGATGATCTTTAAGGCCTTTTCCAACCTTGATGATTCTGTGATTCTGTCATTTTTAGTTACAGTGTTTATTTTCATATACAGATATATACCATATAGAAATGGGATACACCCAGTACCTCTGTGTATAAATTATTATATAATATTTAGAAATCCGATTGTTTATATAAAACTACATGTTAATTGCAACACAGAAACAGTTTAAATAAGATTTCTCAAATAATTATTCTGCTCTTCTTTAGTATATTCCCATGTGTATGATTATATTAATGAAGTTTACATTTTTATTATAGTTCAGTAAATCATCATATTAGAGTAACACTAGAAAAATAAGCCATTCAAGCAATAGAGTTTATTTTAAGATAATTTTATAGGACATGGAGAGTTCATGGTGGTATTGTAAGTGACAGAACTTAGTTTCACTCACTTTATTAAATCTTGGAGATAATAATATTATTCTATTTTATATAAAATTTGGTATGTTACTAATACACTAATGTAGCCCACTCTGATTTATTGTCAGCCAAAACTGGCAGTTAAACCCAGTGTAAATATAACATTTAGGTTTTTAATGAAGGAGGTATTAATTTCCACAACTTCAATTAGGGCATATGGCATGTACATATGAACGTTTCTGAGAGCATTGCACTGCTTTTAATTGCTAACTGCACCCATGCAGCATAGGGTTGTGATTGCTGTGGAAACACAGTCAAGTTCCTTTGTCAACAATACAATGACAATTATAATTCCATTTACTTTGCATATAATTTTTTAACTTTTCATTATGTTAAAACATTACAAACTTCTTTCTTCCCAGTTGTGGGCATGTGATTATTGCTGGTAAATATATGGCAAGCTAAATTCGCATGGGTTTAGCTACTAACTGTCTAGAGAAATAGTTGTACAGCCCTTTGCATCTGAGACCCAGGTCTGAAAATCCTGCACAGATGGTTTGGAGAGATGTATATTCCTATTTATGCAGATATTTTAATCTGTATTTAATCCGTATTTATCAATAGCACTTCTGGCTGAGGCCAGTCATATTTGGACTAACTTGAGGTACTCGATAAAACTGAGGACTTCAGGATGAAAGCTGCAACAATGACAGAGGAATAAGAAATAAATATGCATTAGAAAATTTTTAGAATAATAAGAACATACCTGGTTTTTGTGGACTTCCTTCAGCACTCTTGTCAACTGGCAAAACTGGGCCTTTGTACCCATAAGGCCTGCAGTAATGAAGACATGCAGTAATTTTAGTCTCAATTCCCAGCTTCATGTCAGATTCACGTTAGATTCACATCAGCACATCTCCTTCCACCTTTCTGGATCTACCTCATTCACCTGAGCTGAGATTCTGTCCATCTTACTTCTGAAAGGAAAACATGAATTCTCGATCTCTCTCCACCCACCAGTGTCTATTGTCTACCTTCTCTAGATGATAAACTTTCCATAAGGTAGATTATTTAAAGGAAGGCTCTGGTGTATGACCCATAAGCAATGTTAGCAGCAAAGAAAGAGCCAGCCATGCACTGCATTAAATACTACCTTCTACTGAATCAGGAGGTAGAATTCATATATTGCATGTGCTTTCTTTTAAAACCTGTGTGTTAAAACAAACTACTCCATTGTCTGCTCTGTGGAATTTGGATTCTCTCTATAGACATGGTTTGACATCTTATTGTCAAGAAAGGATTTTAGTGATCCAAGCAGAGTGTTTACAGTAACTTGAAGCATAGAATGAGGATAAAAAGCAAAACACAAAGAATTACTTTGTCAAATGATATTATTCTGAGATTCTGCAGCTTTTTTTTTTTTTTTGTTCAGCATAAAAAAAAAACCTCTGAGATTTAACTGTGCATTGCAAAATGAAATTTATTTTTGTGTTTAATACATCAGAATTCTTTACAATTTAAGTCTTTAGAAACGGGTCATTTTCTTTCGCTGGGCTAGAGTAATAAATAGTTTATCTTGTAGCTGCTTTTTAATAATGTGTGTAAAGAAGAAAATAATTGAAGTCTGCAGAAAAATCCACAGAGGAAACTGGGAGAAGGAGAGCTCTACTAGGTGAATCTGGACGCATTTTTCTCAGAGAAATGCAGGTGTGTCACCTCCCTGTGCTCACTGCAGAAGGGTGAGTTTCCTTCCCCTGAGCTTCAGGCTGCCCTCTCTGACCAACATGCAAATCTCACAGCCCACAGCCACCTACTTAGAGGTCTTAGCCATATGTGTATTTGCTGATATATTTCCTATTTTTCTGTCACATATAGCAACTTTGGAATTCAAGAGTATTTTGTATTGGTTTTTTTTAATGACAACGTATAGAGGAACATTCTCTGAAATGTTACTTACCCTGTGTACAAGTGGTACTGAAAGTTCGGCTTAAGATGCGAGGGAGGCTTGTTTGCTTTCCCGAGCAACAGAAGTTCTCAATGCAATA